GACTCTTGGCGGCGGATTACTCGAACGAACAATAAATTCAGTGGATTGAGGACGTCCTAAAAAGTACGAGTGTGTTCAGAACCGGTACCCGCTGTCCAGTCAACCAGTTTGTGATGACGTCACTTAATGCACGTAACTACGGTTGTCGCGTGTTGTATGTATACTTCGGATCTTTTATAGCTTTTGTAATGCTTTTATTTAAATTGTCCACACGTAAGTATCTTCCTTGGTAAGCGGTTCACCCTAATTCACTGGAACATTCTCTTTAGATGTCACAATAATCTTTAAAATTATCGACCGCGCGTTATTAGTTCGTTAAGACGGATCTGCAGTATTTCCAAAAACGATTCGATATTAAAGCGGTCTGCTCATAGTTCCTGAATCTTCAGGAATTCTCTTTTAGAGGATCTGTAAAGTTTAAAGCGTGCTACGGCGCGTCAGTTATTAATCTACATCACATTATTTGGGAATATTTCGAAATGACACAAAAGTATTCCGATGGAATATAGTGTGAATACTTGTGATTAGTTTTCTTTCGATTTACAATAATAATGTTGAATTATTTCGAAGTTGCATACGTCTGTTTACATACTATACTTGCGTCGCACATGTCTTTTTTGTGGCCCTAGTATGATGTGACCTTTGGAAATATTTTATTTTTTCTCTCTTTATATTTTCTTCTTCCACTGACGACCAGGGCACAGATCTGTATTTCAAGCTCTAAAGCATCAAGTATGTAAAAATGATGAACAAAAATAATAGATTCGTCTAAGTACTATCCCCCCCTTTTATTTTGTTTTTGAAAGTTTCAAAAATTAGTTTTTATCAGTTGTCTGATCGACAACCGAATCGTTCTTGTACGCATATTATTGCGACAAGAAGAAGTTTGATTATTTGCACTTATGAAATATTTTGTTGTCACAGAAAATTAATCCGAATGTTTTGAGAAGGTATCCTTTCAATTCTATGTTGGTAGAATTTTTCTATCGAAAACAGAGCCAATGCGTTACGCATGTCGACGCATCCTAGCATTAAACTATGAGTTCCTTTCATGTCACAAACAGTTCAAAGATCAGGTGAAATCAGAACTTAAATTCTTGCAATTACTTAATTAATTGTTGTACACAGAAGTACTGATCCCAGGAAAAAAGCATAAACAATGTTTGTTAAAGTCTAGTACACATGACACTTGAAAAAAAAAACAGGAACATGAGTAACAAGGCACATACGAGCAATGAAAAACAATATCCCAATAAAATGAAATTGTTACCAAGCTATAGCAGTATCAATGCAGCCACTTAAATAAGGTCGTAATGCTCAAGTGAAAATATCATACAAATATACAGCTCATTCTATTACAAGTGAAATATGCAAGTACTTAGAATGAATGAAAGGGGAAAAAATCAAAATAGGTACATACAATTTTATGGAATTAAATAGAGACATTTAATTGGAAATAGTGCATTTTGCGTAATATTAATAACATTGAAATTAAAATGGAAGGAAGAAGGCTTGTCTTCATACGCATGTTTCTTCCTTAATAGTTCAGCAGATGCAAATCTACCAGACGAACGTGGTATCAACACCAGTTTACATAAACGCAGTATGTTGTAACATTTTGATAACACGCCCTGGGTGATAGTTTCAAGTGTTGAATTTTTTACTCATTAACTATTAGCTGTTTTCATTTTTATCTGTCTAACTTTTTTATTGTGATTTGTCCATGTTTTCACGGTAATCGGTATGTACATTCACTGAATTAATATACAAAAAAACATTCGCGTAAAGGCAAGACTTCATTATTTTATTTTATTTTAATCTTAAAAACACTTACCCAGTAAATGAGCTCAAATCTTTAAGAATAGAAAACGGCGTATTGAGCTATGTTAAATTCGTAAAACGGAGCATTTCGAGGATAGTTAAACACAGAAAATGCAAATCCTCATTTGAATCTCTATTTTATTTACTTAAAGTGAATGGCAACTCGGCAAAATTGTTTCTCTTCCATTTAAAGCTATTAAAAATATCAATTTCAGGTGAAGTATGCTGCCTCACTCAGAATCGATTGTTTTACATACATTCAAATGGAGGCAAAACAGTGTTGCCAACTTTCAATAATCGCCACTAGGCATTACCTCATTACTTAAAATTTGCACGGAAAAGTATTTTAACAAAGAAAGGAAAACACAATAGATAGTTTTCAAATGAAAATGTAAAGTATGGTGGAATGTTTGCACTGTTACAAACTAAGATATGCATCGGCAATTCTAAAGAGTCGGTTACACTGTTTTTTTCCACTTAAATTAATCATAAATATCGACAGTAGCGATTATTTTCTATTCAATTAAATGAACAATATCCAGAACTGTCGACTGGGGATACGCGATTCCTATAAGTGTAGCAATGCGTCGATGTGCTATTAAGAAGTCTGAATGACTTTAAGAGGACATATTTGAATGTTATTCTAATTAAAAGTAAAGAAAATGGTCTGAGCTGAAATAAAAGTTAAATTTTTCTACAAAGTTTTTGTCGATTCATTCCTTGTCCATTACTTCGTCTTTGCAAGCTGTACATGAATACAATCTGTAACTTAGAAATGATACCTCGAAAATCTAAGTTTAAATGTTGAGTTTTTCCAACCGATGACGAAAACATTTGTTCAAATTTCACTCCTTTTTTCCAGTCTTGCATGAATTAAGGAAAAAAATAAATCTAATACGGCATACTTAGCCTATAAGACAATGGTACATGCATGCAGCCTAGCCTGTCTTGCCCATATTTACCCTGGAGAACTGACAAAACTTCCCGCTTCAACCGGTTATTGCTGTGAAACTTTGTTCTCATTTTTCCAAAATACTTCAGAAATCAAACATCATTTGAAAAAAAATTTCAAATTTTATACATCTCCGTTTCCTTTTATCGATGATTTTTTTATTGATTTTTTTTCCTTTTAAAATTACCGGTCTGATTCAAGTCTTACATGTCCCAATTCGAAAAAAAATAAAACCATTTACACCCTCTTACAAATTAAGAAAAGTACTTACAAACATTCCATTTTATTTACAAGTATTTCCATCTCTTAAAACTATAATTATATATTCGCTTATAAGAAAGCTGACAAAAGACATGATCAAATACGCTAAGATGCTATATGCTATTTTTAAAAATAGTAATAAATTTCATACAAAAGTCAGAGTAAAGCTTAAAGCGTACGGAAGGCATCTTCAACCCATTTTAACAATAATATATACTGTAAATAATTTCAGAATTATTGCCGCTGGTTTTATTTTGATGCTTCACCGGATATATATGAGTGACGCGAACACCATGATTGTATTGATAATATTATCCTTTCCCTCAACAAAATTTTTCTATACAGAACAGAAAGGAAGTATCGCACTGAATGACAACCAAATCTTTCTCCCACTTGCTTGGTCGACTAAATCGTTGATTAAACTTGGCACTTTGTCAAAGCTGCGATAGGTATGTAATTATCACAAAATTCTTTCTACAACGATTAGTAATCGGCATTTAAAATGTTTATTTAATACTCGAAGTATCAATGATTTGATTGTATTTAATGTTGATGATGATGATGAAAGGCACCATTCGATACTGTCAAAATGGGTCAAAAAGACGTCGAACAAAAGTGGGTATATACAGAACTATATTTATACAAGGCAAAAGCTTATAGGATATATGTAAAACATTCGTTTTCAGCCGCAGTGGCCTTTGATGCTTCATAGATGCCGCAAAGAGTCATCCTTTGGGTACTTAAGCAAAGGAAAATAATACTCTCACGTTTCAATTGAAATTTGCAAATGTGATTTTACGAGGCTATTTTAAGAATTCTGCTAGCACCATAAACATGTTGGGATCAAAGAAAAGTAGTAATAGTATGACAAAAATTCCTTCCTTGTTTTACGAACTTATTGATGGGACCTACCGGATGAAATCGATAAAAAGTACCGGCTCGCTTTTTACTTATTATCGAAGTAGAATTCGACCATAAAATTGATTTTTTTTACCCGAAAAAAGGGCTAAATAAATGGAGATCGGAATTTTATCAACATTTTTTTCATTCAAAAAATAAAATTATAAAACGAATTGTTTAATGTCGTTGCTTGTCTTATCGATAGTTGGGCTACGGTGCTTCCTACACATTATATGTATAGAAAATTTTAATTGCTGAGAGAAAGTAAAACTATCTTCATAAGTTATATCAAAACTTAGCATAGCCCAGGTAGAAGCAACTGCTCTCTCATTGGCTGAGTACCTCCCTCTATCCTCGCGAGGAAAGTTAGAATTTCGTCTCTGGAGGGTATGCAACCCACAATGCTCGATGCCTTTTCACTTTCATTTTCACTTCACGCAATCCGCAATACTTAATGTCCCTTCAATTTTTAAGGGGACGTCACCCGCAGTACTACATTCCCTTAATGTCTAAGGAAACGCAACCCGTCAAACGGAATGCCCCTACACTGCCGTGCTAAGGAAAAACGCCGTATGAACATTTGAGAGTTACCAAATTTCTCCGGATGAATCATGTATTTTTGAGGAAAATTATGCATATTTTTCCTTAAAATTTTCAAATATTTCAGATTAAATTGCGTAAAAAATTGTCTGCAAATTTTGAAAAATAATATCAGGAATTTTCCCCAGGAAATTTGGTTTTTATCGGAGGAAATTTGGCAACTCTCGAATGTTCATGGGGCGTTTTTTCTTCACGTTGGTGCCCTGTCATGGGGAAAACGAATGTTTTACAAATCTGATTTTTGCCGTGCGTCACGATGCGAGCGAGCTGCCGAGCGTCAGTTGAACTACATTTTGCAACGAGGAACTACTATTTCTCGCTCGTCGGTAAAATCACCCATCCGAAGGAAGAAGCTGAGGGGGCAGGCGTTGTTCGGAGGATAAGGGAGAAATATTAGCTCCTCGTTGTGAAATACGGTCCAGTTAGTAATCGTAGTGAAAAGTAATCCAAGTGATGGGGTAATTACCGAACGGCTTTGCGGCGGCGTGGGGGTTCGCCCCGATTGTGAAGGGTAGGAGGTAAGGTCCAGGTTGTCAGTGCCAGCGAGAACCCGATACAGCTGGCCTGCCGCTCTCGCGCTCCGGTCGGCTGTTCTCTAGGTACAATCACACTAACACTACATCATATATTTACTGTTCCAAGCAACAACACTCCAGTTCCATCTCGCACTCAAAACAATCTTCGAGTCGCTCTCTTTCAAACTCGAGCCGCTCATACTAGAGTCCCTATATACCCAGAGTTACGACAACTCACTTTTGGTTGAGCTGAAAGTATGGCCTAAAAAAAAATCCAATTCTGATTGGTTCTCGCTCTTGGAGTCACAAACGAGTGCACCAAGATGGCGGTGGCTCGATGTGAACAAAAATAATGAAAATATTACCTAATTGTGCTTTATCAAGAGAAAATTGTTTTTTCCATCGGTCCAAAATGAAAATTGATTAAGAAATTATTCACAAACCAATCTCATTTTCTTTTTAATTGATCAACTTTGTTGATGTTGTTGTTTTCGGATGATAGACCTTATCCTTATCCCTCAATATCGTTCGTTTGGGTGCACTCGTTTCGGCCTCCATGGCCAGCCAAGGCCGGCTGCCAGTCAGCTGATAATCGAGTTGTCGTAACTCTGGGTATAAAGGGACTCTAGCTCATACAGCTTTCCCATTAGTTCATCATCAATCGATTAATCGAATTTCTCAATGATGGACACTTCAGTAATCGATTAATAGCCCAATTCAAGTCAATCGATTAATGTGCATATTTAGAAATTCAAAATAACAACCTGTACCCTATAATGCCCGCCGGCGTTGCCAGGTCTAAGTTAGCATTTGCGCTGAATTTGATAATCACAACATTTTCCACGATAATTTAGCAAATTTTCCCACAGTTATTTTCGTATTGTCTCCTGAAATCTGGAGTTTCCATAAAATATCAGCTCTTTTGGGCTTGGTGCTAAACTTTTTGAGGTTTCGTGCTGATTTTTAGAAACTTGACCTAGGAACTGTGAGGTTTTTAATTTTTGATTAATTGTCGAAAATAATCGGTCAATCTGTTAATTAGAATTTTAACAATATATTGATTCATCGAATCGGAAGACATTCGATCAATCGATCAATTAATTTTTTACTCTCAAACGCTGCTACTGTCGAATTTTCCATGCTTGAGATATTTCGCTCTGAGAGCAAAAGTCAAAATGCCCTTGATTGAAAAGAGCGTCTCGGAGATTTTTTTACCGTGCGACGTTTTACCATACAATATTTTTAACACAAAATCAGACAAAATTTCACTTTATATTAAAATATATAATATATACTTATAGAAATGTTTAATATATATTAGTTATTTATAAAATGTGTAGTGAGCAGAGTTCCGGTTATCCACGGTCCAGGTATCATTCGTGATTAGAATATTAGCGAGGAGGTGGTTCGTCAGTTCGTACTACTAAATTACCTCTCGTTTCTTATACCAATAGGTATATGTCTTTACAGCTACTGCTGGTAATTTTTGCGCATGTGCAGTGTGTAATGACTAATGACTGAGTATCCAAAAAGTCTAAACTGACTTGAGCGAGACCAACAATAATTGATGAAATCTATAAACCAGATGCGTATACTCTTCTACACAAACTTGCACGATGTACGAAAGATTTGAGTCTGAGTTGTCAGTTTATCACCAATTATATATTTCCTTGTCTCGTATAAATCACGTCATTAATTCGATAACTCATCTAACACATTTTGTCTAAAGTTACCAATTTACAAATTAGAGCCGTGACTCCGTTAGATCCGTGGCTTTTTTATTTGTTTGTCAATTATATTCTTTTTATTTGGATACAGGAACCGAATTCCAGACCAAAATTCCTCAAAGACAGGAGTCGCACATTCCCAAGGAAATAAATAAGGTTGCAAAGATATATTTCTTTACTTAACTTTTAAAGCTAAACACAGCCACTAGAAACAGAGGCTGCAACAGAACACTGCACTGCAGAGAACTGTTGGCACTTAGTTGGCTGGTATGTAAATAAATTCTTATATTGGATTGCTCTGAATTTTAAATTCTAAATGTTAAGTCTTTGATTACATCTAATTATAAATTTACATTCGTTATGCTCCCTTCCCAACGTGTTTATTGTTCTATCGGCATTTCTTAAGTTGCACATCGTATACAGCCGTAATCCTTGTAATGCAGATAACTAGAACTCCACTGTATTTTAATCAATTTGGGCTATTTTTAGACGTTTGTAACAACTACTGGCGTTACAGTTTGTACATTGAATGAGTATCAATACCTACTTGCACATGCATATAAATTTTTTATTCCGTGTCTTATTTTCCCAACAATTGGAGCTCATTGTCAGTTGTTTTCTGAGAGCAGACTAAATTTCGAGGAGTCATGATATGTGCTTTTCAGCTGTAGATTGCTCAATCTTTTCTGATTTGTTCAAAATATCAAAGGGTACCATTTGAAAAGGGATCGGATCGCTGATGAATAACTTTTGGTGCCCGGAATAATTTTCAAGTAAACTCAAAAACGTTCTACGAATGTTTTCACAACATAGGTTCTCTATCACCTCGGGATGAATGAGATATCTCCCGGGAAAATCTATTCTCCCTCGTCAAATTTACCATTATTTCTATAAATTCTTCAGAGGATTTGATAATGCAAAGGTCTTTTTTTTTTTTTTTTTTTTTTTTTTTTTTTTTTTTTTTTTTTTCCATTTTTTAAATGTGAGCGGCTCTCCCCGGGCTCGACGTGCGGCGGTAAATTTTGTATTCAGGACGTGGAGCAGTGACAGTGGCAGCTTGGCATTTGTCGATATCATCCCAAACTCTGTTACTTCGCCTTCTGGTCTGCCCTTGACATATTAGGCGGCTGTTTGTATTGCGTCTCGAGCCACTATTTCACGAGTCATTAGATTCGTAAGGTGAATTGCAGCGCATCCATGACTGACCCGCCGATCGATCGGCTTGGCTTTGGAGAAGCTCCTCTGACAAACCAAGTGACGACGTGTCAGCAAAAATGCCGTTCTCATCACTGCACTTGTAAGTTTGCGCTTGAGTCAGCAGCGAAAGTAAAGGACACGAAACGTGGTGCATGGTGCATTGTCTGAGTTTCAAGGGAAACCCCGTCATTCAGTGAAAATGCAACTGCGAATACGCATGCTTACAAACTTATTTTTCATACGTATGTATTTTTGACGTAGGGGACGCCCAGTGAGAGGTTGGCGACAGGGGGTGTTAAATGAAATAAGAGATTGTCAACTCCCTGATGACCTGTGGGAAGATCGAGCTTTGTGGCGAGTAGGCGTCGTAAAGCGCCAAAGAGCGCTGTAAAAGCGACTCACATATATATATGTATTTTGGAGACTATGAAATCGGCATCCTACAGTGTCAGTAATCCTGATAGGCACTGTTTTGATTGTAAGGGCATCATGGTGGACAAGGATTATTCTGTCGAGCTAAAGGAAAAACGCCGTATGAACATTCCAGAGGCGAAGTGTAAATGATCGATTATTGTCGATATTTCCCCATTCGAAGTTATGATAAAGAATCGATTATTAAGGTGTTCGTTGCGAAAACCCTGTTTATCGATCCTTTTCCATAGGTTTAAACGGTAGATCAATCGATATATCGCAAAGCACGCCACATCGCCGGAACATTCGAATGTCGCCGGACGTCTTCTGATAACAAAATGTCTTTTGGAAGAAAGTTATGCATATTTTCAGATATTTTAGATTGGATTGCGAACAAAAATTGTCTGAAAATTTGAAAGACAAATATTTACAACTTTCCCAATAAAGTCGTACATTATCAAAGGGAATTTGGCAAAGCCTACAGAATTTTTGGCCTCCTTGGCGCGGCAGTAATTCAGTCAATAGCAATTTCCGCACGTAAGCCTCACTAAATCTCCATTTAAATCCATTGAAAATATCGATTCTAGGTGAGGCAGGATGACTCTTCAGGTAAAAATTGATCTACATATATTTAAAGGGGAGAAGAACAAAGTTGCTAAATGACAAAAATTGTTATTGACAGAAATACTGCCGTAAGGAAAAACGCCGTATGAATCTCAGGGCACCAATTAAAATTTTTGTCCTAGCACGAATTCACCCTATTAGTATTACTTCAACCGACCACCATCCTATCATAGTACAGGTTGCAACAAATTACAATGTTACACACTTTTTACGATTAGAGTGATGTGTATGTTGCCTGCTCACTAATTGAAGGGGCTTCTCTTATTGAGATTTGTTGCAATGAAATTGGAATAAGTTGCAAATTTTTGTGCATTGCAAATTGTAAACATTTCTAGCACATGGAACTCATTTTGTTTATCGTTGAAAATTGCGATTTATTGATCTATGATGCAAAAATATTGAAATTTCAAGGCAAGAATATTCCACTTATATCGCATTAAATCGGAAAATATGTTTTGCAGAGGGATTCTTCCATTATAAAGTAAGTATACCGAAAGTAGTTTAGTGCTCGATTTGACTCGAGTAAGCTCTGGTTGTTTTGTCAGCGGTAAGTAAGTGTGGACAAACACCGTTGTTTTTTTTAACTTGTGAGTAAGATTTGTAAATTTTTGTTGCGTCCATCGTATTCTACGTAAAACTTTATTGTGGCAACACAAAACTATTATCCTTCATTACGTACTCTATGCAGAGGTCCATTGTCAGCAAATTTAGTTGTTTTTTCTCGTGCTGCGTTTAAGTCTCCACGGTGAGGATCAGCTGTTTATGCGCTGTTCATGTATCAATATTTCAATTGGACTACATCTTTTAAGAAGGGGCGCATTCAAGCCAAACGACTCAATCATGTAAATTAGCGTCAACAAGAACGTGTATTTTCTCACTTATTAGTTGATTTCTTTAAAAAAAAAAAAAAATTGTATTTTTGATTTTTTTAATGAATTACTTCAAATATTCTAACAATAAACTCTGGTCTAATAACACTGCTCTTTCGAGTTAGAGCCCCGTCCCTCTCAGTCCTTATTGTACATTCAGCCCGAGACGACTGTTGTTTGAGACCATGAAACTCGCGTCACCTTCCCGAGAATCCATCAAGGGACCTTCTAATAAGGAGAAGAATTAAGAAA